ATTTGAATTTTAATTTGAAATTGAAATTGCCATGATTATGTAATAATATTGCTGTTATAATACATACGCCATCTATAGGAAAAATTAATTATAGGTATTTACATATATTTTGTGAATATTTCAAAAATTTTCAACAATAGTTAGTTTTAGTTGTTTACCGCATTAATTTTAGAATAATGTTGTCAATGAAAAACAAATTAGCTTCTACTTTTAAATAAATTTATATTTTGAAATTAATTATTTCTCAATTAAAAACTGAACATATCTAGAAATAAATTTATTATTTCTTAATTAAAATTAAAAATTTTTTAATTCAAAACAAACACAATATTTTTTTTCAACTTTAATTTTCATTTTACAAAAATAAATATTTTAATTGTCATTATAGAAAAAAACAAGAAAAAAAAAATTTAATCTTACGTCATTTTATTTAATTTTCAATAAAATTAAAGTGTTTTTTTTTTTTGTATTTTCAAAAATATGAAAAAAATTTTTACAGTTAAAGCAAAAAAAAAAAAAAATATGGGTGGCACTTGTTTTTTTTTTTGGAGTGGGGCGAAATTGGTTTTTATTTGAACATTTTGTTAACTAGAAACCGTGACTAATGTTGAAAATCTTCTCCAAGTATGTATGAATATTTTTGTACATATACTTAGGCGTTTTTATTAAATGACAAAGCAATAAAAAGTTGGAAAATTTGTTGTTATATTATTTTACAAATATTATTTCAAATCTGTGTGTATGTGCGTATATTTTGTAAAATTCCATTACAATTGTTACAAATTATACCAAGAAAAAAAAAAACAAAAATTTTGAAATTAGCGGAACGGAACTAATGAATGTTAATACTTATGTTACGTTATTTTGATAATTAATTATTACAAATCGATAATTCAATTAATTTTCGATTCTTTTTAAAATGATCGAATTTAGGTTAATAGCAATTGCATTTATTATTGATTTATAACATATTTAATGTTAAAAGTTTAATAAGATAAAAGAAAAAAGTCAAAGTTTAATGGTACTTGAGGGTGTTTGTTGTTGCTTGTAAAATATTAAAATTAAATTGAAAAGATATTACGTAACCAAGATTTTAATTTGAAAAGAGAAGGAAAAAGTAATCCAACAATAGCTTGAGTGTAAATTGTATACTAGGTACGTTTGAATCTAAGTTGGCGCCTACCGAATAATAGAAAATAATGTTAGTTTTTGATCGCTACGGTCATTAAATAGTTTAGAACTAAAAAAAAGTTTTTCGTTGCCTAAATTTTGAATTAAAATCACCTTTTATGATTATTAAAAAGAATGATGGATTGAGATGAATACTTAAGAAAAATCAGGCACCTCTTACTTATGTAAATAATACTAACAATTTCTATAAAATGTTCGCATTTATTAGTGTATACAATAACTCATTCTTTGTGGAAAATCATTTAAATTGAATAACTTTTAGCTCTCCAAGAAATTTGACACTCGACAATTCTACAAAATGTCATAATCGATATAAAATTATATGCCAAATGGCATATAAAATTCTAAACAAAAATTATTACTGGCGGCAACGAAAGTGATATTATTGATCTTTCTTTAATTAATCTTTTATATTTCTTATATATGTACGTATGTATGCATTATTATGTTGTAGATACATATATGTATGTATGTATGAATACGTTTGTAGTGTGTAATATACGTACATTAAATGTTAAAAGAATTTATACTTTGACGACGTTTAGTCTGTTGTAGAGTTTTGTTAGAGTAATAAAATTTTTATGAAATTTTCTAAGTGTAATTATTTAAAGTAGACATTATGTTTATGCTTTTAGTTCTTGATATTCCAATAGTTTATTTGATTTATAAATGAATACCTATATATGTATGTATATGAATGTATGTATATGTATAGTTTTGTTTAGAAAATTTTAAACATTTTTATGTGTTTTAATTCTAATATTTCTAGTTAAGTACTACTATTACAATATACTTATTTGTTTTCTATTTTTTTCAAAATTTTAAAAATATTTGCATACATACATGCATACACATGTTTATAAAACTGATTTTATCGTTTCTATTTCATGCTCATAATAAGTATTTTTACATTTTTTTTCTCTCTTATTTACTAGAGTTCGCTAAACCAAATGGAAATGATGAATCATTTTAACATTAAATCTACATACATAGTTGTGTAATCCAAAAAAAAACACCGCCAAAAATTGACAGAAATTTATTAATTTAATTTTGCAAAATTTGCTTTTACGCTCTTACCCAAAAAATTGTTTGAAGAAAAGAAAAAACAAAAGTTCAAATAAAAAGAAAATTCTAATGAAATGAAAAGCAAAAAAACAAAAATTATTTAAAATGACGTTTTTAAAAATAGAAAAATTTTCATTAGTAAAAAAAAAACAACAGAAAATAACAAGAAGAGTAGACTGATCAAAGGTTAATCATGCATAACTACACTTCGTTCATACACCATAGCTAATTTTATAGATGTTGTCATTCTTATTTCGTCAACTGTTCTATGTTAACGTAAAAATATACGTAAAAATTGTTTAATGTAGGAACGTAACGTAACATATACTTACGTAACTATGTCATACATGCGTTAACATCATTCTGCGTTGACATCTTCTGTCAAGCAAAAATTTGTTAAACTTTTTCTATTGTCTTGGTTTAATTTATTTTCAATAATTTTACAACGTTGTCTAAAACTTCTAAGAACAGAAAAATTCCATAATTATAGAGTGCATGTCGAAACTCAAAACTTGAATATGGTTTAAAAAATTCTTATTTCACAAAATTTCACAAAATAATTTCTAAAATTTAAAATTTCCCAAAAATTTTTATATAATTCATAATATGAAACTAGTTCCGTTTCTATATGCTTGTTTTTATTTCAAATGTCAATGTCATCATGTATTTTATAAGTATAGTGATATTTTCTGACAATTATTCACATATAAATAATTTATTTCTTATTTCCTTCATTGTATTTTGGAAATAAGCAATAAATTGTTTTACAGACATATAAAAGAAAAAAAAGAAAGAAAAAAAAATAAAATTAAATAAGAAATCAAAATGAAATATGGATAAAATAGTTCATGATTTTTTTTTTTTTGCCAAATAACACAATAAAAATGTCATTATAAATTTCAAATTTATTTATTTTTAAAATGAAAATATAATATTATTGTTGTTCACAAATTGTCGTACTAGCAAAATACATACACTTATGTACATATTAGTTATGCTAGACTTGGGTACATTGCTTTTTGATGAATCTTCGTACCTTTAAAGGTGAATGATTTTATCATGTTTTTGGGAATTCCAGTTTAATATTGTGAATATTCTATGTACATACTTAGATATAATATCAACTACATACATATTATTATGTACTTACATGTATAAAAAATAATAATGATTAATACCTAGTTAACTGGTTTCTATTGGTAAAAACTAGTATTTTTGCAATTTTTTCTTACTAATTTTTAAAAAAGTGTGTAAATACTATAATTATTTGCCGGCATTTTTTTTTTATGTTCTTTCCATTTATGTCGGCATTTTTGTGATTAATGTTTATTTATAGAAGTATATTTAAAGGTATGGGTATTTTAAGTTGTAGTTATAGGGTATTAGGATTAGATTTACAAAGCTAAATGTTGATAAGAATTTTTAATCAACATTGAAATATTGATTAATTTTTATTAATTACGGGTACATACCGGTTATATTTTTTTATGTTTTGCACTTAATTCTTTGGGTTTATTGTACAAATGGTATGTATGTATGTATGTACGCACCTACTTATAATTTATCATTTGTAAAAAATATGGTTATGAACTACATACATGCATATTTCGTATTATAACTGTTATTTAAGAGAAACAAATAAATAAATAGTTCGTTTAAATTTATTAAGAAACTTTTACTTTTAGCAACTTTTGATTTTGAGAAATTTGTAAGTGTTATTAAAATTTTATTCAAGGTCTTAAATAAAAGCAATTAACAAAGAAAAATATTATGAGCTTATTGAAATTATTTGGTATCTTAATCTTTACAATTTAAATTCCTATTAACTTATTTAAATGTTGACTTCATTATATTTTAGACGACCGAATTCGGTGGATTCAATTTTGATTCAATATTTTACGCAATTTTTCCGGACGAATGCCAAATGCTATTAACTAATCGACTAATCCAAATACTTAAAAGTAATTGCTCACCAAACGCAATTTTCAGTTGTTATTTCCTATTTTTTAATCATTTGGAAATTCATTACGCTGAAATTCGATGACGTTATTCGGACGTCAATATTTAAGAGATGAAAATTAGATTTGACATTTTATAACCTCAAATTAAATATGTAAAATGTCAAAAGTAAAAGCATAGAAAGATAAAAAAAATTACTCGTTTTTAGAGTAAAATTTTTAGATTGAACTTTATTAGTAAAAAACTCTGAGTCAAAAAGCATTATGGTTTCCTAATTTCCCCAAACATGGAAATAAATTCTAATTACCTTAATAAAAAAGTACTGAAAGATTTTCGATTAAAAATGGCATAAAGCCAACCAATCATATATATATATATACATGTACCATACATACTTACAGGTATGTTCATATGTATAATATAAGTATAAATAAATTCTAAATTTTTTTTAAGTACCTAGGTATGTGCGGCACTTGCAATACGATATATTTATTTTTTGTATTTTAGCGCCAATAATTAGAGTGTATATGTAAAATTCTTTTTTAATTAAATAAAATACAAAAAAGTTTCTGTAGTAAAAAATTTTTAAAAATTACAGCCTCCATATTAATTTCAATGTTAATTTTACAATTTCTTTAAAAATGTTCGTGCAAATCTAATTTAACTTATTCAGCAATATTAAATTAATTGAAATTTTCAGTATCATAAAAAACAAAAATATATAATAAGTTGAAATTTTTAATAAAAATTTTACATTTTGTTTCTTTTTTTGTTTATATTTTTAGTAGTCGCCGGAAATTTCGTTCAGCTGGTAATAATACAATAGGAAAAGCTAATGTGACATCAACATTGTCATCATCATTGACATCACCAACATCGTCATTATCATCAGAATATATTAAAAAAACAAATGATGATGTAACATTAGCTGGAGCCCAAACAACAACAACAACAACGACTCAAACAATTATATCACAACAACAAGCTGTTCAGGGTTTTCGGATAGAAGGTTTTAGAATTGAACATTCAAAAAAAGAAGCTGAATTTGGTGATGATGGTGTACCAGAAGTTTTAAGTGGTTATGATATTGTATTACGTTTATTTGGTTATGGTCTAACCGATAATTTATTAATAATATTTACAACTGAAGAGAATACATATGGTGGATCATGTTTAATACCATCAACTGGTAGTTTTCGTGTAATACAAGGTACATCAACAAATAAAACAGCTTTAGTTGACGTTACATTTGATCGAAGTAGTAATCATAAAGATTTTTTAATATGTGCTAAAATTGATGATTCAACTGAAAATATTGTAAGTTAAAAATTTTAAAAAAATAATTTTTCATTTTAAATAAATCAAGTAATAAAAAATTTGTTTTTTGGATTTATTTTTAGCAAAATGTTACAATAGTAAAACCTTTTGTACATCAAGGCTCTGAAGCATGGTTAAGAATAAGAAGTGTTGAAAAATTATTACCTTTATGGGCATCCATTATGATTATTGTTGTATGTTTGACATTTTCGGCATTATTTTCTGGTCTAAATTTAGGTTTAATGGCATTAGATCGTACTGAATTGAAGGTAATTGTAATTTGAAATAATTGTTTTATGATTCAAAGTGATTACAATTATATAATTAAGTTAATTTTGATAATTTAATTATCGTTTTCTTTTTGTAGATACTTCGTAATACTGGCACTGATAAAGAACGTGAATATGCTAGTAAAATTCAACCAGTACGTGATCATGGTAATTTTTTACTCTGCAGTATATTACTGGGCAATGTTTTAGTAAATTCAATGTTTACGATATTATTGGATGATTTAACATCCGGTCTAGTGGCAGTTATATGTTCAACTCTTGCAATTGTAATTTTCGGTGAAATTACACCACAGGTAACACACATACATGTATTCGTAAATTAGTTTATTAATAATTTTAATTTACTAATTGTTTTACTTAATATTCATGATTAAAAATTAAAATTATTTTTTAGGCAGTTTGTTCCAGACATGGTTTAGCAGTTGGTGCTAAAACAATATACGTTACAAAAGCAGTAATGGTTGTAACATTTCCATTGTCATATCCGACATCAAAAATTTTAGATTATTTACTAGGTGAAGAAATCGGTAACGTTTATAATCGTGAAAGACTGAAAGAACTTGTTCGAGTAAGTTTAAGATTTTTTTTTTTGAAATTACTCAAATTTTAATTATTAATTATATTATTTCAAATTGTAAACTGATAATATTATTTTTTGTTTTTAGGTTACGAACGATGTCAATGATCTTGATAAAAATGAAGTAAATATAATATCTGGAGCATTAGAACTTCGTAAAAAAACTGTTAAAGATGTTATGACTCATATTGAGGATGCTTTTATGCTATCATTAGATGCAATATTAGATTTTGAAACAGTTTCAGAAATAATGAAATCTGGTTTTTCTCGTATACCAGTATTTGATGGAGATCGTAAAAATATTGTTACATTATTATATATAAAAGATTTGGCATTTGTTGATCCAGATGATAATACACCATTAAAAACATTATGTGAATTTTATCAAAATCCATGTCATTTTGTTTTTGAAGATGTAACATTAGATGTTATGTTTAATCAATTTAAAGAAGGTAATAAAGGTCATATGGCATTTGTACATCGTGTAAATAGTGAAGGTGATGGTGATCCATTTTATGAAACAATTGGTTTAGTAACATTAGAAGATGTTATTGAAGAATTAATACAAGCTGAAATTATTGATGAAACAGATGTTTTTATTGATAATCGTACAAAACGTAAACGTTTAAAAACAAAAAAACAAGATTTTACAGTATTTGCTGAACGTAGAGAAAATCAAAGAATACGTATATCACCTCAATTAACATTAGCTACTTTCCAGTACTTAAGCACTTGTAAGTATTTTTTTTAAAAAAATAGTAAAATTTTTAAATTATTTTAAAGATATTGATTATGTATTATTTTATAATTTTAGCGATTGATGCCTTTAAGAAGGACACAATATCTGAAACGATATTGCGCCGTCTTCTTAATCAGGATATCATAAAGCATATTAAGTGTAAAGGCAAAGAAAAAGACGATCCATCTTTGTTAATATATGAACAAGGAAAACCCGTTGATTTCTTTGTACTTATACTTGAAGGAAGAGTTGAAGTAACTGTTGGTCGAGAAAATTTAGTATTTGAAAGTGGTCCATTTACTTATTTTGGTACACAAGCATTAGTTCCAAATATTGGAATAGGTAATAAGTTAAAAATAGTAATTATTATTACTATAGAAATATTTGTAAATATAAACCAATAACTATGATTATATATTTAAAGTTACTAAATATTTGATTTTAAAAATGATAAAACAAAAATATTAATCTAATAATGTGATTTTAAGTGTCTGTCTAATTTTCTAATTCTATTATATTTGTAATTAAATTTTATACAATTATCAAAAAATTTTCTTGAAGGATTTACTATATATATTTTTAAAATTTTTTTATGTTTTTTGTAATTTAGAATAATTATAAGTAAACAGCATATTTTCTTTAAGCTAGTGAATACTTATTTAAAAATTTCTTGTCTGATTTAAATCATATTTTGTTGTATTATTTAAGAATATTATAATTAAAATATTATAAAGCTATTTCAAAATAATTGATATTTTTTGAAAACTTCTAGTGACAATTGTTTGTCTGACCATTGTTCCATTTACAAGTTGAATGACAGTCATTGAAGTTTTCAAACAGCCACTATCCAGTAGCCACTATTTCATTTAAATCATAGTTTTATCTAATTTTTGAATTAGTTTCGTATCTATTGGTTGAATTCAAGAAAATGTGCTTTATTGTATTTAAAATTATTCTAATGATTAATTTTTGTTTTCTGTTGTTTTTTTTTTATTTTTGAATTAAAACATCTTAATAAATTTTCTAGCTATTTTTATCAAAATCTTTTTTGATTAGGACTAAATTTTCTAATTTTATTATATTCTTGCTAATATGTGTGATATTTTTTTAATACGTGTATTAATAATTTAATCATATTTTATTATATAATATGTATGTACTTACAAAATAAAGAATGAAAAAAAAAAATTAAAAATAAAGTCTGAAAGGTTTGTAGAACAAGAAAATTTCCGTTTCAAAACGTTGATTTTTATTTTAGGCGAACCATCAGTTAGTTTTTAAAATTATTTATTTTAATTGATTTTAGTTAAATAATTATAAAAATCATTATAATTTTTTCATAAATTATTTTCAATAAATTTTAATGTGTTCGTTAACTTTTTATAATTTTATTTAAAGATTTTGTTAAAGGAAAATTTTTACTTTTAATATTTTTGTAATTAACTTAAATTGTTTTTTTTTTTCTAAATTTGTAATTCAATTTCAGAATCTCTTTTTTAATTTTTCATTATCACAAATTAATTTTTCTAAAAAATTAGAACACATATAATATAAAATTATTTCTGTCTTTAATATTAACCAATATGAATAAGCCTAACTTTAAAATTTAAGAGATTTTTATAAAAAAAATTGTTTAATAATAATGTACTTGCATATATCTAATTTATTTTGAAAGTGACCTAAGCACATTTTTAATTTTAAAACTCTTCTCTTTTATTCTATAAAGCTAATAACCAGTAACCTGAATTTTTGGTTAACTGAAGACGAATTAATATTGCATTTTTATAATATTCAATAGACTTAAGTCACTTTTAAAATAAACTATTTTTATATAACATATTTAATATTTATTCGTGACTGTAAAAGAAACTCGTTTTTACAACTTAGTTCCTTTTTGTGGGCATTTAAATAAATAATTTCTACAAAATATTTTTGTGTTTGTCCGTCTGTAATATTAAATATATAAAATAAGATTGAATTTAGTATTTGTAATTAAAGTTGTAATGTTGATGTTGTAAATTATGGGTCTCAATAACCACATTATTTAATATAAAAGTATTCATCATGAATATTGATGAATCCAATCCAACTTATTGTTATTTGATCTTCGAAAATGCAAGATTATAAAAGCAAACTTTTTCTTATATTATAAAAGAAATACAAATTTGATTATAAAGTTAAAATGAATTTGAAAAAAAATAAATAAATAATAATTTAAATTAAAATCTTCTATTAAATAAAATATTTTATAAAATCGACAGGTGAGTTTTTTCCATATATTTTATTTAAAAGTTTACAACTTTAGTATTACAAGATTATTCCTGTATCGAGTAAAATTGATTATAAAATTTAAAATTATTAGTTTTAAAAAGATTTCAGACATAGAGTTTCTTAAAATTTACATAATTAAATTTTATAAAATAGGCTTATTCAAATTTAAATATTACTTTTTTTTTGGTTTTATTCATTAAATTTTTATATATTATGGGTTTTCACTGCTTAGTGCAAAAGGTCGTGTATCAAAGTATTGATGTATCAGAGTAAAATATTGCACTGCTTTAACAATTTGCACAATTTATATGACCAAAAAGAATTTCTTTTTAGTAGTACTTTACAAAAACGAAGTTATTAAACTGGCAATTTGATAAAAATGTCCAAACTTTTGTTAAATATGGTCTTTTTCGCTATTTCAATTCTAAATAGTGGTCTTGAATTAATATATCCAATTTTTCTCGTCAAATATTATGGAGACAAATGCTTAATTTTTTTTTCTGTGGCCGTCCATTTTGATTGCCCTAGCATATAGTTGATGCTTGTTCTACTATTACATTTTAAAATTATAAGCAAAGATGCTTATAAACAGGAGTTTTGCAATATTTGTAATCTCTTTGCTTTATTCTCATTCAATAGAATTTAATATAGTAGAACAATAGTCAAATTCTTGCTATATAGTTGTTAATTTTTTTATCAGTTTTAAATCGAAAATTTTCTTCGGGCGTTCACTAGTTGAAGAAAAATTCTTTTTTTCTTCTCCATTTATTTTTTTTTTTTTTGCACTTATACATCAATGAAGTGAAAACCCTTATTATTTTTAAATTTATAATCTTTCTCAAATAATTTTATTATTGTAAACATGTTTTCCAAATAATTATACCATACCATATTAATATTAATATTTAAAAAAAATTTTCTTTTTATTCTTCAATAATCACATTAATTTTTTTACAATTATTGTCATATTTTAAAAAAAAAAAAATATCATATTTAATTTTTATTTAATAATCACTTTATTAATAAAAAAATTATTATTTATTAAAATGTAATAACTATATATTAAATATTTTTTTTTTATTTATTTATTTTTATCTTTTATATATAAACATATATACACGTACATAATATAATTTAGAATCACCAAATCAGCAATCACAGCAAATAATGGGTTCATTACAATCACTTAATATGGATGCATTATTAAGGCATTCATTTGTACCAGATTATTCGGTGCGTGCAACAGCTGATGTTATTTATATAACAATAAAACGTAGCTTATATTTGGCTGCAAAACGTGCAACATTATTAGAGAAATCACAAAAATTAGGTGTTGAACCAACAAATGAAGCAATAGATGATGAAGTTGAAAAGGTAAAATTTATTAATTTTTTGCAATTTAAAATTTTTTTAATTATTTTAAATTAATTTTAATTTTATATTTTATTTCATTTTAAAAATTTATTATATAATTTTTTTTTTTTTCATTTTTTTTTTTATTGTGTTTTTTGAAAATATTCAATACATACATATATACATAATATATGTTGAAAAATTTAAAGAAAGAGTTTGAATCTCTATTACGTGATGAAGATGATGAACAAGATCGTTTGTTATATTAAAAATAAAAAAAAATCAAACAAAAAACAAAAAAAACAAACAGTTTATATATTTTATTAAATCATCAAAAAATAAATATACATACTTATATAAATATAGAGAAATATATTTAATCATAGCGAACTTAATTAAATTAAAAATGGATTTATAAATAGAAAAAAATAAAAAAGCCGTAAGAAGTTTTAAAACTTTAATATTTTTTTTTTTTTTTTAAAAACAAAATTTTTATTTAATTTTTATTTTGTTTTTATTTTTTTTCGTTTTTGTTTGGTAAAATAGGCGCTTTTGAATATATTTTTTTTTTAAATATTTTTATTTTTAAATCGGTTGTTGGGCATTTAAAAATATTCTATATTATTTTTTTTTTTATTAATATTAATAAATCTATTTGAAAATAGAGAGAACAAATTAATATATACATATATATGTAAATATATATACACAGACAATTAATTATTTTAATTAATTAATCAAATAATATTTGTGAATTCAATTTAATTAATAGATTTTCATTTAAAATTAAATTAATTTATAATTTAATTATTTTTTGATTTTTAATTTTTAAAGAAAAATTTACTTAATATAATTATAATAAATTGTTTTTAATTATTTTAATTTTTACTCTTAATTTATTAAATGCTATACTTTAAAACGTGCTTATTTGTTTTGCTCTGTCCGTACGTCCGTCACAATTAGATTCTATGTACAAATAGATTTTTAGTAAAAACTTATTACTGTAGAAGAAAATTTTTTACCTATCTCCTGCCCTTCTAAAGTAAGTCAAACTTGTAAAAATGTGATTTTTTGACTATTTCTTCTTACGAAACCATAAACGTTTTTCAAAATCTGCAAACAGAGAAAGGCAGTCACATGCGTCTACCATTAAGGCGTAGAACAAATAAAATTAAAAAAAAAAACAAAATGGCCTTTAAAATTAACCGTTACCTAAAACATATTTTTTCAAATATTTAATATTTACATATTTTGAAATAGAGGGCAACTTGTTGTTGTTCGTTGAAACAAAATATTTTTCCAGCTTTACCACTCTCTAAGTTAATTCGTAAAATTTAAATTTTAGACACCTTTCAATTTGAATTTTATAATTCTAAAAATGCAAGTTTATCCAAAATTCCTATAAAAGCGAAAAGGTAACCGTAAATGTTATATACTGTCATCTAAAAGTAGAATTATTAATTTTAATTCGGCAACTAAACTGTCCAATTAATCTATATTATGTTAGCACTTCTTTTAAATTTTTTCTTTTGCTCATCCGAAGTATATGCAATAAACTGATAATATATTTTCACTTGTTCAAGAGAAAAGTGCTACTTTAAAAACCAGTGGTTTTATTCAATATTATTTTATTTATTAGAAAATTAATTTTGTTTCGGCATATAATTAAAAAAAAAATTAAAATTAAAGTTTAATTAATAAATTGAAAATTTTGGATTTAATTTTTTTTTTTAATTTTTATTTTTTTTTTTTTCAAATTTATTTTTAAAATGAATTTTTAGTTTGTTTTTTTTTAAGTAAAAATATTTTTTCTTATTGAAAAGTATGTTGGCCAATAATTTGTTTTGTAATTATTATTGTTTTTGTTAAATGACTTAAATGACATTTGGCAGTTGAAATATAAATATCTATATAATGGAATTCAAATCCAGGGATGGGTTTTCATTAAAAACAAAATCATATTTTATTTTTTAATTTATTGTTCTGTTGTTCAATAGAATAATAATCTAGAAACTTATAAACTAGGCAATTTGTAATTAGGCTTATAAATCTACAAGAAGACGAGTTACATTCATTTCGGTTGTGTGTTAAAACCGAATTTGACAAAATTCATTAATGTCAAATAAATATTTGACAAAAACTACTCATACAAATAATGGCGTATTATTGCAATTTTTATTTTAAATATAATTTGAGTTCTTTTATTTATTCATTATGTACACTTGGTGAGTATTGAAAAAGGAGATCAATAGCGATTTATTAATTAATTGAAATTAAACAAAATATTATAATTTAGTTGTTTTTTTTTTTTTTAGAATAATCATGCCCAAAATCTTTTAGAAAAGAAGAAAGATTTTAAAAAGATAAAAATATAATTATATGATTATTATTGTGGCTTCTATTTTTTATTGTTTTTGGCTGCCATTATTTATATTTCATGATCATTATTTTTTAAAATCAAAAAAATTAAATTTATTTATAATATAAATTTAAATAAGTAATTTTTATTCATTTAAACATGAATTAATTATATAATTGTAAAAAAGGTGGAAGGATATTTTTTAAATTTAATAAGATAATTATTTTTTATTAAAAATAATAACTATATTTTGTATTTATATTTACTTTTACTGTTTAGGTGTTTTAAAACAAATTTTTTTTTTTCCAAATGTTTGTCAAATATAAATTTTTTTTTTTTTAAATTCAAAACAAAGTTTATTGGGTATTTGAATATAATTCCGTTTTTAAACTATAGATGGGTATACGGTTTTTGTTCATACTTTATTTTAATTTCCAAAACTCAGCTAATGAAAGAAAAATTCAAATAATTTTTAAATGGCATCATTTATGTCAAATTATTTACAGTTATTTACGGATTTTTTCAACAATTTTCAATATTTCCATATACTCTTTAAAACAAGCTTAAGTTCATGTAAAATGGTATTATCTAAGCTCATCAACTACTTCTTTAGCTTTTTCAGTTTCTTAGTTCATCAGGCCCTCTTTTACTGTTAAAGAACTTCCATAAATTTCCTAAAGGAGGATAAATTCTTTGGGATGATTGTATTTTGATTTTCTTAATAAAATATGCTGTTTTTTTAACTGAGAAACAAATAACAAGAGCGGATTTATATCACATACCTTCTATTCCAAATTTATTTAATTTTTTAAAGAAAAATTCAATGATTTACATAAATTAGAAAACTAATGTTCGTTCGTTATAATTACAAAATTTTCTAACCTATCATTATTTTAACATGTGCTTTATATAATTTAATGTTAAAATGTTAAATGAATGTTGTAATTAAATAAAATTATTCGAAATGCTGTAAAAATTAACTTTATAATTTTTATGTTGATAAATTTTTAATAAATTGGCTTATATAGTATTTATTTAAAATAATGGAAAATATATATGAATATTTATTTAATATATATTTTAATTATAAAAATTTTAGTACTGTGCTATATTGATAAAATTTGATTGAAAAAAATACAAAATTTCCTATTACAACAGTACTAAAATTTTGTTTTTGTTTTATTGGAATAATTAAGCGGCTTCTTTTCATAAAAGCACATCAGCTTCTATAATATAGTATAACATAATAATAAATATAAAATAATGCCATTATTCATTTTAATGTTACATCAAAGCAATGTATTCAATATTTTGTTAAAATTTAATTTATTTTTATAAAACAAAAAATATTTAATTATTTCTATTTTATTTTTTTTTTATTACCTTTTTAGCTACTACATTCCCTTGACGAAGATGATCGTTATACTGCACATTTTCAAATTAATAGAAGAAATGATTTAAATGCATCCAATAAAAATTTATCAAATATGAATTTACATGAAATATCAACAAATACAAATATTGATAATCATAGTAAACAGGATAGTAATTCACAATCGCCAACAACATTCCCATCGGTAAGTATAACATTAGTGCGTAAAAAAAATGAGGAGGGACAAAAAAATGATCTTATAATGTATGCTACCAAGGATTGTTTACCAAATGGACCAACACCAATTAGCCCGAATTCATTACAGACATCATTTAATCAACATACAGCATCATTACTTGGATCACAACAAACTAGTAATAATAGTATGGCAGTAGCATTATCAAAATCACCATCTGGTTGTGGTAATCCTGGTAATGCTAATTTAGCTCATACTGATAATAATTTATTATTACCATGTTTACAAATTCAAAATACTGACGATTTACCATATAATAATAGTGATAATAACGATCGAAGTACTAGTTTGATTATTGGTGGTAGTAATATTGGTATTGGTGGTGGTATCAGTGGCAGCAACAGTGGTACTAATAGAAGAAGTATTGGTGAAATTGGAATATCAACTAGTTTTAGTAGTAGTAGTGGATTAGATGGTGGAAATTTATCAGAGATTAAAGCACGTAAAAGAAGTTTAAATATAAATCAACAGTCACAAAATATTAATAATAGTAATAAACAACAAAAATATTTAACAAATCAATTACAACAACAACAACAACAACAACAATTACAACAGCCATCAAATATGATGAATTTAGATAATAGTAGTAATAATGCAGCAGATTCACCATTATTAAAAGATGAATCATGTATTCAATATCAACAACAGCAAACAAATAATCCAACAAATAAAAAAAATTCAAAATGCTAACGATTCCTTAAATTATTAATATCTTTACTAATTTTTATTTAAATTTAATAAAAATTTTTTTAATGAAAAACTATATATTCAATTAAATATTTCAAATATTAAGTTATAATTAAAAATCTTAATTTAATTTAAAAATTTCTAAAAGTATATAATAAAAAAAAAAAAAAAAATTTTGAATTAAAAATAAGCAATAAAAAAATGTTTATAATAAAATTTATTGTATTATTAAAATTGGTACAAAAAATTATAATATAAATGTAATATGTAAAATTATTTAAAATTTTAAAAATATTAAAATGAAATTTATAAAATTTCATTTCATTTAAATAATACTTTTTTTTTTTTACAATATAATATAAAAGTTACCAATTGGAATTTGTAAATCAAAATAAAATGTAATTTACATTTTTATATTAGTGTTTCATGGGCATTAATTTTAAGTTTCAATTTAAATTTATAAAATATAACAGGTTATAATGCATTCAAAGTCATATATCAATTTAATTTTTTAATAAATTCAATTTTAATTGTTTAATTAGTCAAATAGATATTAGATCAGCATCTGCTGGTTGCTTGCCCAAACACTCTCATGATCTTTTTAATTTATTTATCAAGTTTACTTATTGCAAAAAAAATAATTTAACTATTTTTGATTAGTTTCAGATTCTTTCAAAAATATAATTCATGAGCTCGTTAAAAATGTAAAAAGAAATAAACTAAGTTAAAACAAAAAAAATTAACTAAATTTAGATTCGAGAAAAATTGTAGTAATTATACCAGTTATTAAAGCAATTTTGTGAAAACCACATTTAATAAATTTAATATATATAAAAAAAATGTTTAATATAAGCTATAAAATTAATTTCTATATTCTTTTTTCTTTTATTTTCTTTAAATTTTATGTATGAGTTTTATTTAATATCTATATATATTTTCTTTTTTAAATGTAGAAATTTAAAATATTTTAGAAATTAAAAAAATAAGTAGTTCTTCCGCTATTTACATAATTACAATTTTAAAATTAAATACAATTTTTTTACTTAAATATTTTAAAATTTTAATACCATATATTTTAAAAATACATTTAAATTTTTTTTTTTTTATTTGTTTTCCAATAATTAAAATAAGAATTTTTTAATACTTGTTTTTTGTTTAATTTTTTTTTTTTAATATTCAAATATTTTTTATTTTTTGCTAAGAAATCGCGCCTAGTACTTCTTAGCAATATTACACCAAATAAATAAAATAGTGATGAATATTTTTATAATATTTAGGACCTTTTAATTAATAATTTTTATAAATGTAAAATTTAATTTATAAAGAATATTAAATTGTAAATATAAATATTTTTTTTTTTTCAAATTTTCATTATTAATTCAAAGAACAAATTCTGCCGCTTTTAATAAAATAAATTACTTGACGTGATGGGTTGTTATTCAAAACTAACTTGACGTGATGGATTTGAGCTTTTCAGAATAAAATCAATTTCAAATTTGAAATTCTATACTGAAAATTAAAATATTTTTCAATAATATCACATTATCTTAAGTATTAACGACTAACAGAATATAGGTGATCTTGTTTTTTTTTTTTAAATAAAGTTAAAAGTAGTTATTTTATATTTTCATTTTCTACCATATTTTTAATTCAATAATGTTGTTATTAGTATTTATCTAACAATAATTTAAATGGTTGCTAAAAAAAAAAATAATTCATAAAAGTATGCTTTTTTCATATATTTATGAATAGTTTTTAATAATATAAAAGTTTTGCTCATTAAACATTTATGAGAATTATTCAAAAATTTATTATAAATATATTTATATTAATCAATTATAATTTTATTTTATCAAAATTTTCTCTTGATAATCTTAAATAATTAAATTATTTAAATTTTCCATTAATTCTTTAATTTTAATAAAAACATGATTGAAATATTTTAAACAAGCCAAAATTTTAAAAAAGATTTAATAAAAACTTCAAAATTTATCTTCTTATTTTAAAATGATTTATTTGATATTTCTTAATGATAATATTTTTTAAAATTGTATCTAAAAACTTTAAATCTATATTATAAACAATTATTTTAAATAATTAATTGTAACATATAACGTGAAAACTAAATACTTAAAAAATTTTTAAATATACAAAAATTTTTATTATAAAATAATAAATAGAAATGGATAATTTCTTCTTAAATAAGGAATTTTTAGTAACAAAATTTCATTTATTTTTATTAAATACTTCTATTTTATATTGAGATTTAATAAACTATAATATAAAATCAATTCCTTTTCGATTATTGATTGATTATATGGAACAGCAAATTCCTAGTTTTAATAATTAAAAATATTTTATTTTGTGTAAATAAATTTACTCGCTTTGTATTAAATACCGTGTACTCACATCAAATTATTGAAGAAAAAAAAAAGTACATTTTGTCGCAAAATATAAAAGTATTTAAATTATAATATGAAAATTATTAAATCAAAAGCTTGTTAAATAAAAAACCTTGCAAATTATTTTTGATAAAAAAAGAAAACAAATACTCGATAAGGAAAGGTTAAATATTAGACGATCAAATAAATCAATATAGTTATTATTAAAAAATTAATTCATATTAAAAGTTTGATTTTTAATTTTTTAATTAAATTATAAAATAATTTTAAAATATAGATAATGAAGGGCATTTCAAAAATTCAGTTCTAACTTAAGATCTTAATAAAAAATGGGGTTATCGTTCAGTTCTAGAATATTTCTAATTTGAAGAACACGTTCGCAAAATGTACCTTACATTGTATTCGGTTCATTAATTTCATTAATTACATTGTATTCGGTTCATTAATTTCAGTTCTAAAATTTTAGTTTTCATAACAATGTCATTTACGAGTATGTCATTTTGCAACCACTGATTATTTATACGTTTTAGAATTTGTAGATTAGAATTTAGCTGAAGTTTCAACATGCTGTTTACCGCTATGACTTGGAAATTTAAATTCTAATCTAGAACTTTCAACGCAACGTGCATTAAACAAAAACCCCTAAAGTATGTTCGATACTAATAAAAACTATAAAATTTTCAAATGTAGCATGTTCGATAAATTTTTTTCTAAAAAAAGAAGAACGAAAATCGTAGCATGCTTGAAATTCTAGGAAGCATTTTGAAATTTTTTTTCTAATTGCTACAAAAATATTTTAAATTAAAAAAAATTTACATAGAAAAATATAAAATATTGAAAACCTGAAAACTTTAGTTAGTTTCTAGGGGGGCTGTAGTGAATGAATAGTGATCGCTTTTTATGATTTTTAAGTTTTAAGTTAGAACTTTAATTGCATATTTGAATTATTGAAAATATTCGATTTTTTTTTTTCGGAAATTTTAAATATCTTGCTTAAAATTGCTGAGACAATATTATTAGCAAAATTTTATTGGGCGAATAGAATAGGGGTCACAAAAACTGTTGTAAATTAGTTCATTATCCTTGTATAATAAGTTCATTGTTCTTATTTTAAAAAAGTAAATTTTTATTTTTTACAGAAAATTTATTTTATATTATGCATTTTTCGCATTTTATTTTAATTTCTTTTTTTTTCTTATTTTATATTTTGTAAATTAATATAAATTTTTTTAAATTATAATTTTTATGTGCTTTCTATTTCTTCTAGTTTTTTATAAGAATATTTAATTTCTAAAATAAAACATACTATTAATATTCGACGTACTTAAATACAAAAAAATAAATACAATTAAAAATTAATGAAAAAAACGTGTAAAAAAAAAATAAAAAATTAATAATTGTATATAAAAAAAAAATTGTTATTGTTTTTTGTTCCTTTATGTTTTGTTATTTTGAACAATGTTTTTAAAACTAATTAATAAAAGAAAAAAAAAATAATGAAAAAATAATTAATTTTAGAGAATTTAAGAACAAAAATAAAAACAAAAGTAATCAAAGTCAATTAATTTTAATTCTTTTCATTTAATATAAATCCATACACGAATACCATTGCCCTAACCAGTTTTAGCTTTAAAATTTAAAATATTAAAAAGTAAAGGAAAGATAAAGAGTAAAAGTGGTCAGTGTAATATTGCCAAGGTTTTTGTCTTTCAGATTTAAATGATTTAATATGTTTAAATTGGGGAGATAACAATTTTTCAATATTTGAATAAATCGGATTAAACCATATTTGAGAAATTAATCAATCCCATTCAATATGTAAATGCAAACACCTTATAAACCGTGGTTACATTTAAACAAGAGATTTCCGAAAAAAATTAGCTTTTCTAAAATTCGTCGAATTCGAATAAAAATAACTTAGTAAGCTATTCAATAATATTCGCTTTTAAATATACGGTAGAGCCATCACACCTCGAACTCCTCGAAGTCATATGAGTTCCCTTGAATTTTTTGTTTTCTCTTCGAAATCCCCATAACTCGAACTGTTTTAACGTTCCCGTGCGACTTCGAGTTATACAAGCCTCACTGTATATGTTCAGTGAATAAAAATTTTGAGAAAATAAAAACAAATATTCGGCTCTTTCAAACCAAATAATAAATCGATTATTTTAAAATTCGGTAGAATCCCTAATCTGAACAATAACGCTTTCTGTTAAAAAATTAGATTATTAGAAATTATAAGAGAAATTTTCAATTTTTGCAATAATATTTTTAATTATTTTTCTTAAATTATCATAAAAAAACATATCTCTTCTAAACTTAAAAAAAATAATAATTTATTTATTACTATAATAAAATAATTTGTCCATAATTTAATTAATCATAATTTAATTTTCTAAAATTCGAAATCCTAATTCATCAGCGACCCAATCGACTTTAATGATTTTTCCTTGTTCATCAAAAAATTCATAATTTCCTTTTTTTATTAATACATCATTTCCCATTTTACCTTTAACTAATTTTCCTTCTTCTGTTACTCTAGTACCATCATTTAATACATATGAATTATGATATTCTCCTTCACCAGAATTACCAGAAATTGGAATTGGCATATTATCACCATAATTTGTTATTGTATTCTCATTAAACATTTGATATTTATCTGATTCTTGTAATGGTGGTCCATATTCATTAAATGGTTGATTTGGTGTCATTGATGGTAAACCATATTCTAATTCTGGTAATGATGGTGGTGGTGTCATTATTTTTTCTGATTCAATCACCTCAGTTTCTATATTAACATCTTTTTCTTTTTCTGCTTCAGTTGTTGTTGCTGGCGATGAACTTGATTCTGGTTCTGGTGTTGTTGTAGTATCAATTGATTTTGGAGTTGTTGGTTCAGAAATTTTTGTTTCTGTTGGTTCAACAACTTTTGTAATTGTTGGTTGAATAACTTGTGTTAGAACCGGTTGTATTTCATGTTGTTGTATTAAGGTTTGATGTGGAATTAATACTTTTTCATGTACTGGAACTTTAATAGGAACATATTCTTTTTGTATAACTGGAACTTCTTTAATTAGAGTTCGTGTAACAGGATATGGTTGTGGTAAATAAAATGGAACTGGTTGTTGAATAATTACAGGTTCTGGAATTTCTTTTTCAGTTGTAGTTTCTACATGTTTACCAAATCTTCGATTCCAAAGTAATTTAAATATTTGTACTAAAAGATTTTTTGAAGGTGGTTTTTCTGTAATAACTGCAGTTGTTGTTGTAGATGGGACTGTTTCTAATTTATGATGAGCTAAATATACTGATTGATCATGTCCATGAGTTGGATATAATACTTGCGGATGATAATTATGATGATATAAACTTAATGGTAAACTAGCTAAGGTAACATTAATGAATACCAAGATAATTAAAATCTAAAAAAATAAAAATTATTAATAAAAATTAGTTTCCGAAATTAAACAATATTAATTTTCTAATATTTGACACTTACCGATTTATTAAATTTCAAATCCATTGTTATTTTTTTAATTGTGATTTTTTGTCAAAATTAACATTTTATATGAACTATAAAGGAAATAAAATTTTGCCTTAAATATAAAGTCCCCCTCTCCTTCCTGTATGCTAAATCGTATTTCTTTTTCTATTAAAATATTATTGAAGGTCTTTTAGGTTCGAAGGCCTTTTTTTTATAGACAGTAGTGCGAATTGGAATTTTCTCTAAAGAAATTTTATACATTCCCTATTTTAAATATCGCACGAAAACGCGAGTTAGTGCTTTAGGGTTTTTATTTTTTTATATTTTACTAAACGTGTTTTGACTATTGAATGCTAATTATTTTACGTTTCTCATATTTTCAAAAATTCTTTGCTTATTTTAAACAATCGTATAAAAGATATGGTGGAAAATCTGTTTCTAATGTTGTTGAAATTTTTGGAATTAAAACTACTTTTAATGATGGTAATTAATTTGTATGTTGAAAATTGTATAAGATACCGGAATTCCATTTAACGGGAACACTTATGAAAGTAATTATTTACTTATATAATATTATATTTAGTATATTAATGAACCTAAACGCTTTTAAAGCATGTCGAGATGCAATTAGTGGTATTGCATATATTAAAAAAGAAAGTGATTTTGCAAAAATTTTTGCCACCAGCAATAAAAAAAAAATGAAGGTTTTATTTTGTTTTCACTTTTAGAAATATATTTCTGTTATTGCAGAATTTAATGAACTACAATATTGTGTTATAAGCGTAACGCTAAGAGCACTTATTTTTGGGATACAATTATTTTTAGTTTTAAATATTAAAAATATTTGCTTTTTACGTTTAATAAACTATTCTGATTATCAATTAATTAATATTCTGATTATCAATTAATTTTATTCTGAAATTATCACGTAAAATTTATTATGAGTTTATTTTTAATTAATGATAATGGTTTTAAAATTTGCATGCTACGCTTTATTTAATTAATAAAATGGAATATTGTCTCATGTGTGGGTTTGTATTTAGTTTAGTAGAATTCGATCTCTGTTACTTGAACAAAAATATATTATCAAAATTATAGCACATTGAAGTTGCACATTGAAATTGGGTATATTGCCTCTCCAGGCAATTTTCCATTTGTATTATTATAAAACACTCGAAATAGTTTTTCATTCGTTCATGATATTTGACCGGATGTTTTTTGAATTTAGGGCCCGTACTTCTAATCTTAGATGTTTTTATATTTTAGCTCTTAGGATTTTCCATAAGCTACCTTTGACTTCGATTTCATTAGGATCGAGAATAATATTGAAGCTGTTCAAAAGCTGTTTTCCAAAAAAAAAAAACTTAGAATTTGGCTTTTTAGTATGGATCTTTTGCAAATTGAATTTATATCAAATGTTCTACACTAATTACTTGAAGCGTTACTTTAATTTTTATATTTAACATAGTTTGTATAATTGCTCATTAATTTTGAGGAAAACTTAATATTTAATCTTATATATTCCTAAACCACATTTAATATACAAGTACGTTCATATAATAAGTATGTATATTTAGCAATATATAAGACAAAAGGGTGCTAAGATAACAACAGCTATGCTTTTAAAAACTTAAATAGCATTGTTTTGCACTTTATTATTACGTTGGCAATGTGCAAAAAGAATAGAATTAGAAAGAAAAATGGTTTGTATCTATAACAAAAATTTTAATTAAATAATTTGTAGCTTTCGCAATAGAGGCGCAGTTTACGTTATGAAGAAATTATTTTTTTAAACAAATATATGAAAACTTTTATTTTTAATGTTCTTTAAACATTCTTTGCTTTATTTTCAAAAAAAAAAAAAATATTATTATAAATTTAATAATATAATTTAATTATTATTTATTTAAAATATTATAGGATTCCATATTGTCTTTATTTTTTTGTATTTTTTGGAACTTATTTAGTTCATTGCTTTTACAAATATTTTATATACATAATATAAAATTTTTACTTAAAATAAAAATAAGTCAAAATTAAACTTAAAAGAAAAAATATTAAAATATTTTATTTTTTTTTATCGACTGATTCACTATAATAAACTAAAATAGTTTCCGATTTTTAGTTCTTGCAATTATTTTCGGGTTGTTCTTCAAAAAAAAAAAAAATTATTTTTTAAACAATTATTTTTTATGCAACTTCACTTTGTACAACAGATTCTGCATCTGCTGATTTCGTTGATTGACTATCTTTTGATGGTGCTGTTAATTCTTTTTCACGTATACCCAACCATGGTAAACGTTTTTCTAATTCAGCACGATATTTTGGATGTGCAACAGCATAAACCCATGGATCAATACATGAGACAATTTTTGCAGCAACAGCTGGTAACATTGAAACAGATGGTGTTAAAAGTGTTCTATCACCGAATGCACCAGTTATTGCAACCCAAGCATATGGGGTCCATGAACATACAAATAATATTACAATACTAACAGCTGCTTTAGCTATTCTTAATTCAACATTTGTATCTTTAACTTGATTAGCTGATAATGATTTAACATTCATTTTACGTGCTTGTTCTTTTAACATTGCTTCATGATCTTTTACCTAAAAAGATTTTGAATTTTAATTTTTATTATAATATTTTAAATTAAAATCAGTTAATTTCTTTTTTTAATTAAATTTTTTATTACCTTCATAAATAATTTAAAATAACATATTATAATAATAGACATTGGAATTGCATAAGCCCAAATAAATAATGTCATTGTAAATACCCTAGTTTCACTATCTTCAGTTAAATAATCAAATGAACAAGTTGTTAGATATCCTTCTGCATTAATTATACAAAAAAGTAAATTAATTTGCATTATTAATCTGTATAATTATATAATTCCTTTAAATTTATACCAGGAATATATCTATTCCATATATGAACATATGGGAATATTGTAAATGGTGTTGCATAGAACCATGTAAATATAACTAAAAATGTTGCTTGTACATAATTTAATCTACCATCAATTGGACTTGATATAGTTCTAAAAAAAGTATAAAATTATATTAATTATTAGTATAATTTATATATTGATTTAAATATAATTTATTTAATTACCTGTATCTATCAAAAGCTATCATAGCATTTGTTATAGCAGCACCTTGTCCAGAAATGCTACCTAGTGCTGCATAAATATTACAAGCACTTTCAAATCCAACAATATATTCTACAGCAGAATTTACTAAAAACATTGGCATTTCTAACATCATCGCCAAATCGAATATTGCCAAATTTAATATGAATAAATTTGATGGTGTTCGTAAATTTTTTGACCTATATTTTATTATAATAAAATTAAATAATAATTTAATAAAGCAATTTTAAAATTTTTCTAATATACTGTAAAATTATTTTGTCAATATTCAAAAAGCAAATATATGGAAATCGATTTTTATCGCATAATCGATACTCGTCTTAGATTCTACCGATAATTTACCAACAGTTAGTGTTGTTGAAATTGTGTTCAATGAATCGAGATCAAATGTAAATTTGACTTATTCGTTTTAACTAATTATTTGGAATAAGGTAAACTAATGTCAGATCTGTTAGATGTTCTTTGGTTCATAATTAACTATTTAATTTCAATATTACTATATATATATGTCTACATATCTACATATATACATGCATACATTTAATAGTAATTGACAATTTAAACTTACGTTGAAAATATAAAAACGACTAATCCATTGCCTAATGATGATATTGTCATCATAAAAAAATAAACGATAAACATAAATAAATGATAAAAAAATGGTGGCGCTGCATATCCTCGCCAATGTGGATGAACTAAATGTAATTCTTCAACAGGAAAATTCCATCCTAATAATTTATGTTGTTCAGTGCTAAATTTTAATGAAAAAATAAATATAATAATAAATTAAATGTAGAATTTACTGTAAAATAACCATTTATAACCATTACATAGAAAGTTAATAAAATTAATTTAGATTTACCTGACTAATTTTTCAAATGTAATAGGTCCAATTTCATTATGATGTGTCGCGTTACCAAATATATTTGCCATATTTTTGGTTTTTTTTTCACTTGTTTTTTTATTTACCGATCATATATAAAATTAGCGTTTATATTAATTCAATCTACTAAATCCAGTAATCTGTAACCAGTTTAAATCTATATAAAGGACAATTTTGGTTTTTTTTTTTTGTTTAAAGGATAATGAAGGATTAAAATTAATAAGAAATAATTTACTTTTTGGTTACAGCTTTCTGTAAATATAGTAGGTGTTTGTCCGGTTCTAATTTCGTTAAAAAAATAACGAAATTTAATTATAAATTACCTTTATATAGTCTTAGAATAAATTCTATTCTTTTCTTTGTTTCTCTTTAAGGAAATTCTTAAAGGAATTAAAATTGTTTTAAAAATGTATTGAAAATGAAGACAAAATAAGAAGAATAAGAAGAAAATAGAAAATATTTGCTGATTTAGCGGAAAATTTTGTAAGTTTTTCTTCTTTTTTTTTTGTCTTTCATTCCTTATAAGAATAATGATGAGGTTCTAAAAGGTTATAATAGAATTTTAGCATAAGATTTTTTACATTCTTTTTTTTTTTTGAAAAGGTGCGATTTTGTATTCAAACATAGATATGACAAGAATTTTACTAATTCCTTTCTATTTTTATTTTATTTTTGTTTTTTTCTTGGTTTTTTAGATAATGGATTAGATATTTAAGTATTAAGTTTATTTTATAACGATTTGATATAGCTATGGATTTAAAGGTTATTTTAAACTTGAAATTATATGACAAGAATTTTTACTTGACCTTCATAAATAAAATCGATTTTAAATTGTTATAATAGTTTGTGGTTAAGATTTTTAAGAATTTGAAAATTTTTTTTTTTTTAAATTTTGTATAGAATTTAAATACCATTAAAGAGCATTGAACAATGTATATACAATTTGAAATCATATGGCAAGAGTTAAGTTTATCTGGCTTATTAAGAAATTACAAGGTATATAAGTGAGTTGAATAATTTAAATCTGTTGTAAATACCCATTCATATATATATTCATTAATATATGTATATAAAGAAATTATATTTTATTTTTGTTGTTGATTTGAAGAATATGTATGACGCCGTTCTATATTGTACATTTTCTGTTTTCTTGTTTACGTGGAGTAGTGCAGCTATTATTCACAATATTGCATAAAGTGAACGATGTTAGCGTCAGTTTTCAATTTTTCTTGCTTATTTCATAAGAATGTCACAATTGGATTAAATTTATCTATAACTGTTATAACCAGAACTGTAATTCTTAATTTCGAGATGGCTGCAGGTAGTTTCGTCAAATTGTAATTTCTTACAAGTTGAATATTTTTAGCATATATAATTTTGTTATGCGTAAATGTTCATAATTATTTATTTACTAGCGTCGATACATCCATACATATTTCATCTAATAAACATAAATTTTAATTTAATTTTGTTTTTTATTTTCAATAAAATTTTTAATACATAATTTTATGAAATTTTTTAATTTTTACTTTTTTTTTTTGTATTTTTTTAATTTTTATATAGGAATTTTTTAATGGATCTATTGAAAAAAATAGACAGTGGGATTGAAAATTAAATATGTACGTAAATGAATCGATGAGAAATCAATTTTCTATCGATAATTTTAGACATGTTTGATAATTTTTGTGTTTTTTTTTTTCTTTTTTTGTAAAAAAAATACGACAAAATACGCAAAATGTCACGAGTTCAATGAAGAACACAATTTTGACTTTTTATTTCGCCAATGGTGGCGCGGGTAAATATAAAAAATCACAAGGTTATAAACTTGAAATTTTGCAATTTTTGATTAAAAAAAAAAATGGAAAGCATTTCATATATTTGCGTACAACTTGAATTTTTTTTTTAAAAATATATAAATTAAATATTTTATATTTTAATTTATTTATAAAAATATATACTTTATGTATATGATTGAATTAAAAGAAATCAAAAATATTAATTCCAGGAGGACAAGGGAAGAAAAAAAGTGAAGCAATTTGGAAAAAAAAAAATAAATTCTTTTGCGATGTTGCGTAATTTTGTTGAGCATTTTTAAAAATTTATTTTAGGTATGATGACTAAGAGTAATGGTGTTGAAGAAATTTAACTAAAAATTGTTGTACACAGTGAGCTTGGTTGCAATACATGGAAATAAACTCAGGAAGTTACAAGAATCAAAAACGGCTAGAACTATCGTTTTCTTTGGTATAAGGTGTGGGCATTTTTGCATATAATGAATTTCCAGTGGTTGAAGTCCTATAGAAAATGGCATATTAATATATTTTTCGAATTTCCATATACATATAGGGTTATGTACGCATATTATCAATAATAGATATGTAGTGATTTCAAAGAGGTCTTGATAAATTTTAAAAATCATTCAATTTTTCAAGTAATTGGTCAACTTTCCATTATGGCCAAGTTTAAGATGGCCATAAATGGAAAGTATTTAAATTCCATTTAACAGTCTCTAGGTATGTACATACGTACATACATATAAATATGTATATGTAATTAATGTAAAACTTAAAAAAGATATGAAGGTTTTCTCGAAAGGTTATTGAAATCTAAAAATTTCAATAAAAATTTTATAAAATAATTAATTAAATTATAGTAACAAAAGTATAAAATTTAAAAAATATTAATTGTTATCTTTCATTTTTAAAAGGGTTTTCAAAATCATTAATTGCGGTTTGTCTTTAAATTGTTATTTTTAAAATTTTTTATTTGAAATTATTCAAGAGAACTTTCTATATATAAAGAATATTGTTAATGTAAAATATAATTTAAATAATAATAAGATTTCCATTTTTCTAAAAAAAAAAGAAGTTTTCTCTTCTCATCAAATTCATCAGACCATTTTCATTTAATGTTATTTGTTTTGCATTAATTATATTAAAATAAAGAAATCGAACAGGTCTTGCTGATCTTAGGATCTTTATAAAGGCTAACAATATTGTTAAAAATTCAATGATTTTTTATAGCATTTTGTAGGATTTATAAAATAAAGTTGAAGTAAGCTGAAGTTAATAATAGTCTGCAAATATATTAATTACAAAATTATATGTTTTTTTCTTTTCAGTATGGTGTTATAAGCTTCACATAGTGTTAGTGTGATTTTGCAACTATGATGATTTGATTATGAGAACTCGGATATGAATTTTTGAACTTAATTTAAAGGTTTGCATTAATCTATTATAGAACTTAAGTTAAATTTTCATATATTTAATTTGATTTTTCTTTTAATTGGAGATCTTTGTAAAATTTTTCTACTATTTTGTGGCCGACGTGAAAATTTTCAGTTCCCTAAAAATTCATTTATTAATTTTGCTTTTTCCTTGAAAATTGAAGTCCGAGTTTGATGTAAGATTTAAACTTCGGAAGCATAAGCTATATATTCGTTAGGTAATCCGAGAAAGAATTAGTTCATTTTCTTTTTTTTTGTATTTTTTGCATTCACGAATTTCTTTATTCAAATTGCATATTTAACAAAATAAATAATTTGTATGCAATAATTAAAAAGCAAATTCTAAGAAGAACGGAAAAAATGCGTTCCCACAAATTTATTATACCCTTCAAAATAGTATAACATTGACATTGAAATTTTATAGGACCGAATTTTGTATAGTTACATAACTTACTTCTAATTATAATCTGGTGAAAAGAAATATGTAATTAAAAGAATTTCAAAAATTTATGGGTTATTTTGACAATTTTATTCAATTTTTTGTATTGAATATTTTTTTAGAATAAATTATTTCTTCTTTAAATTTTTTCTTTTTATTTTAATAACAATAAATTATTATTTTTTCTGTTTTTCATCTCTTTTTAGAAGAAACAAGGGTCTCTTTTATGCAAAGGACAGATCATACAGAGAGTAAAGTTGTTAAACTTTTTACGTCATTCTTTCTATTTTATTAATATTTTAAGAAAACTAAAAAAAAATATTGTCTTGAAGGAAACTTTTTTTTTGATTTTAAAAATTTTTTCTTTTTTGAATTTTGAAAGGAAAAGGGTTCTTTACTCTCAAAAAAGGATCTTATTGTTATAAATTTTAATTATGTATGTATGTTTGATAGTATGAGGACTGTATATTATGACTAGGCAACAATAAATATTTTTTTGGAGGATTCCAATTATATCAATTTGTAATTAAATTACTTTAAAATTTTATAAATTTTTTTCTTGTCAACTTTAAATTTTCGATTCATACTAAAATGTAATTATTTAATATATAAAAAAAATTAATTTAGCCTTAAATATTGCGATGGAAGTCTGATCTACAAATGTTAATATGTAGGAAGCTGCAATCATATTCCTTAATTCGGTTAAAAATAATTTTCTGATGTAAACGCGAGTTTCGAAAGTCAACAGTACCAAAGCGACAGATCGGATCGAGTATGTTAAAAATAATTTACTTGTATATTAAAAATATTCTAGAAAGACAGACTGAAGTTCTTGCAAATTTTATCAATGTCACGTATACACTAATTTAATTTTTTTAATTTATTAACTTGTATTTTTGGTACAGGCTTATTTGTAAAAATGTAAAAATTTTCTTTCGTACTTTCTTAAAAATTTTCTTCAATATTATTAAAATTTAATTTTAAATTTTTGGTATCTATAGTATTTTCTAGATTTCTAGACCTCTAGTCTCCATATTTTTTTATACATACATATGTATGTATGTATATGAATATATTTTAAAGAAATAAAAATGTAAAATAAAAATTATATTTTATAATTTTTTCGGCTAATTAATAATTTGTTTCAACAAAAATTATACATTACTTTATATTGCGATCAACAACATTGTTGTTAATTTTTACCGATAGGATTATATACTAAAGGAGAGGTATTTTATTAGTGTCAATTTTAACATGTCACGTTTTTTGACAGAGTAGTTCAACACAATCGAATTATTTGATCATCGATTTTATTTCTTTAAGCATTTAAAAAAAAAATTAAGAGAATTTCTTGAATTTTTTTTAATAGATTACGTCTGATAATAAGATGAAGCAATGTAATGAAGAACCGGTCGCTAAAACTTTACTACAGGAGCTACTAAAATTTCAACAAAAACTATACACTTTTGAAGGTATATTAACTAGAGGATTATTAATTTTCTAAAAATTTGGAATTAGTCTATAGAATATGTAGCACATATAGATACTGTCACCAAACAATGTGAAACAATAGCGGGTATATTCCAATAGAATTCCATAGTAAAACGCTATATTTTACATCAGCATGTTTTTCA